AAATTTTAAACGATATATCAATGAATGTCTTCTATATACTGATTATATTGGCTTGAAATATGATGATGTTGAAAATTTACAAAATGGCATTTCTAACAGTGTAGGGTTACCCACAAAGAAAAAAGGGAAATCAGGTCTAAAGCATTTTCAACCAAACTTTAAAAAGACAGACTGCCAGTTCACGATATATATTTAGTTAAAACTATTATCATCTGTCCAAGAATGGGTGAAGATGTCAGAGTTTGAACAAAGGATGATACTGTAAAGACTAAAGACTACCTGAAGTTCCTTATATAATACGATTACAAGGTCAGGGTAAAATTAAATATTCTGTATGCAGCCTATTTATTAAAATAGTAACAAAAGAAACCAGTTGCAGAGATTCCTAATTAAAAGGAAAGAAATTCACTTAATCATTTTAAAGGTTATAATATTTAAAAAAAACTATTACTGAAGTAAAAGTACCCAGGATTCAATCCTGTAAAAAGGACAGAGTTTGCTCGAAAAATACATCCCGATCGTAATTGCTATGGGGTCGGTACCTCCCGGCTCAGCATGGTTAACAACTGGCTCAATCAAAGAGACACTCAGAAAACTTTCAATACTTTCCTAAAATGATCATCCTAGGTTTTACGTGTCTCATACTTCATATGGAATATATAATCTGAGAAAAACCAAAATTCAAAATATCAAATATAAAAAAAAACACAAAAAAAACAATAATAAACAAACAATTTTGTAAAAATTAAGTTTTAAATGAGCAATTGCTTTGCCATAAAAACACCTGGAAACTCGATATTATCAAATTTTAAATTTGCTTCCAGATAGGTAAAAAATACATCATGACTGGTTGAAATAGATCCACCTATACAAATTGCATTAGTTTGTTTTTTCCAAAGTCCAAAAAAGTGCCTTTGCTAAAAGGGGCACTGGACCCTTTATGCAAATTCCTGACAATAACGAAAACTATTATTAACCTATTGTTTCTATGCACAGTTTATTATTTCTTTGATGGACATTTAAAAAACTCGAAAAAAAATTAATTCAGGCAAGTGCAATTAAGTGGACATTAAGTATTTTCAATAGAGGACAGGAAAACTGGAAAACCTTTGAAATTAGTATCAGGTTCATTAGATAAATTCAGCTTTCAGAGCTGAAAACTTTAGAACGGTAGATACCAAGATTAATGCTTAAACTCCCATGGTTTTACTAGACCGAAGTTTATTTTAAAACGCATTCGATATCCAAGAAAGAAGATAAAAGTTTAACCAATCAGCGTGTCATGTTAAGATGTAATCTTTATTTTTTGAAAAACTGGTTTTGATTTCTGATGTCATATCAACTGAACTAAACATCGATTGAACGAACGTAAGTTTGGGATTAATGTTTATTAAGACTAAAGTTTACAATGACAATAGTCCTAAAATATGTTTTTGTAATAATTTCATGATTAAATTTATATTTGTTTAAATGCTCTAAAAGTCGGCTTGTGAACAACTGACTTAAATTCAATCGGATATTAGTTCAATCGATATAGCATTGTGTCTGTAATTGTTACCAAACGTAAATTAAATTAGAAATATCCAAAAGAGGATTAAGAAGAAAATCATAAGTGTGTACATAGGATAATCAGATTAAGTGATCGTAATTAAGGATAACTCATTCTAAAGTTTTCAGCTCGGGATACATTTTAATTTGAACCACAGAAATAGGGTCGTGACTTTCAGAAGGAGTCCATAGTCTTTGTGTAGAAAAGCAAACGTCTAGACTTAAGTTATGATTTTAAAGGGTGCACACAGACCCACACTTAATAAGTTTTATTCAAGGTATTATTGTAACTTTTTAATTTATACAACATGAAATTTGCATAAAATTGCTTAAATGTCGTCTTTATATTATAACTTTTCTCTGCACATTCAATATATCGTTAAATCTAAAATTTATTAATTGATTTGATTATCACGGTTGAACTGTACAATGTGTAGATACAATGTATATCGGATAATTAAGAAAAGAGTAAAGAAGGTGACTAATCTTTTCTAAGCAGCTGAACACCTATAGTTTGGGTGAGTCATTGATATCAAAGATCGCTGTAAATATTATTTAGACAAAGTTTTCTTGTGCATCAAATTATTTTTACATTTAAAATGTTTCCTTTAAAAACATAAACACAAATTATTATGAAGACTACCCAATTTGTGTTGTGATTTACAAGATTAGATAAAAGTATGTTCTCCTTTTTTAGTAAAAACGTTAAAGAATATTTTCAGCTGCAGGTTCTGCATTTACTATACTTCTAGAAAAATCTATGATAATCATTTTATCATAGATGCAATAGTTAAGCACATTTTAACATAATTGTATCTGAATTAATAAATACGAATAAGAAGCAAAAAACAAAAACTAGAGACATGTATTGTGTGTTTAAAACACTGAAAGCGCATGTGTGTGTACGTGTTCTGCATTGTTGACGTGGAATAATAAAGTCGATGATTTAAATAAATAAACATATATGTAATATATAATATATACATTTTTAAGGCATTTATAATGCAACCATATTCAGTTAAGTTTGTACTGCCTTATTTTCAGCACAAGGCACTTAGAAACAGTTTGGGAAAATTTTGAAATATATTGTTTAAACGTTTTTTTTAATGGAAGTTCTACTTTTTCAAGAAAATGGCTCTATAGAAACCTCATGAGTCATGATTGGTTTATAGTATTCAGAATACTTCTATAAGATCATAAAAATAAGGGCGTATGGGGGGGGGGGTACTGCACAAGTATTTTCTCATTTAAAACAAATTTTGTGCTTTACTATCAATTTGTTTAACAATTTTTGAGAGCGTAGTTTTAAAGTTATAAGAAGCTAAATTTAATGTGCGCTTCGCGCAAAATCTGACCCAATTGTGTAAAATTTCCGTAATTGTAATTTTTATGTTTGCACAAGTTTCCATTCAAATTTCATTGATCAACAATCATCACTGGATAAAAGAAAGACATGATACATTTGTTTTGACTTAAGAAATCTAGAGATGAGGAAAATCGTACTCAGGATCTAAACTGGTTTTCCAAAAACCAAAACACAAATCTAGTCATTGGTAAACCTTTAATATTGATTTTTAACATTGAATATAAAAAATTATGTTTAATGATATTTAGTACTTTTTAATTTTTTCTGAATAAATTCTCCATCTTTTTTCTGCATCGTTTTAGATTCCTTGAATGTTCCTTTACAATTATCACATTCACAAGTGTGGCACTGAGATAGTTTTAGTCGTAAACTTTAAACAAAGAAATCTCATTCTTGTTAACTGTAAGACCGGGATAAGAAAGAAAATGGCGGATTTGCGAGTTTTGCTCTCTACCACGTGGACCGGAAGTTTGCCGCGGCTGTTCACGAGGTCCAAGCAGGGAAAAGCTTGCTCCAGGTCTAGAGGTTTGATACGGTTGTAATCTGTCCGTATACATGTCTACAGGGGGAGATGCAGTCTCTTTAGCTCGCTTGGAGGATGGAGGTATGAATGAAATCCTGTCATTTTCTAAAACATTCACAAATATAAAGATAAATAAATACTTCAGGCAATCTTTTTCATTAATCCAGGTGTGCAAAGCTTTATTAAATAAGTCAACCACCGCCCCACAATATGATAGGAACATTTCTTCAATGTTTTCTAATGATAAATTCAAATTTTTAGAGAAACAAAATTAAATATTATAAAAAAAACTATAAAAACAGGTTAAAGATTACAAGTCTATCGCCGAAAACTCTTAAAATTGTTGGTTAAAAAATTATTTCAATATCACCCATTTAAAACTAATAAAAAGTTAATTTTACCTAGAAAAGTCGAATTTTCCTCTAAATGAGAAGGAAGTTGAGCTTTTGAAGAAGTCAAATGTGAAAATGAACTCGTTGGAGGTGAATTACGTTTAATTGGTGATGTACTAAGGTTTGTACTGATCACTGTTGATGTATTCTGAAGTGTACGATTAACTGGAAATGTACTTTTAACTGGTGACGAACTAGGTACTGAACAGGGTACTGAACTTGGTTCTTCCTTAAGCCCAAATTTCTAAAAATTAAAAATTAATTTAAATTCACAGAATCATAGTTATTATAAACACAAGACATATCATTATGATTTTTTTCGTTTTGTTTAGATTTTACAATTTATTTTCCAAAATTGATTTAATACCTGTTTGTGCAAAATAGTCAACTTATTCGAATATGCACTCACAAAATCCAGGAGAAGTTGGAGCTCTAAAGAAAAAAATCAAAACATTAAAATTTAAGTTGTAAAAAGTCTAAACTTGAAAGAAAACAGCAGGATATAGTTTTGACCAAAAATAACAATTTTTTAGCGGAACTGGGACCTGGTTCATCAAGCCTTTTTGTACTGTGAAAAAGTTAAGATTATCTTTTCAGTCGTTCACAACACAACCATTTTTAAGATTCTATTATTTTTTTTTAAATGGCCAAAAGTCGGAACCTTCGAGAGGAGACTCGTTAAACTTAAACACTTGATCTCGATATCCGAAGTGGTCAATTATATAATTTGAGGATAAATGCAATCAAAGACATCCCTGCAGGGTACGGCAATCAAGGGTTAACGAAGTAATCCTGCATAAAATAGAGATAAATGCTTGATCCTGAGTATCAAGACCTCAGGTCTTTTTACAAACACTTCTACACTTACTTTGATCCTTCTCATCTTCCTTCCGACGTTTCTCTTGAATTATCTGGAGCTTTTTTTCGTTCTTGTTCATCTGGTCTGCTTTCTTCTTTCTACAACTCTGTGCAGCCGACTAGAAAAAAACGTACTTGTAGTCCTGGGCATCGTTTAAAGGACCGATAACTTTCAATATGCAATATTTTACTCTGTCAAAACATCAACAAAAACCATTTTTTCAACGATTGATAAAAGTCTTTTAATGAATCGTTTTGGCTAATTTCTTTATCCGGAGATTTTTTTTACTTAATGTAATATTTTAATGTAATAATAAGAAAACTTAAAGAAAGTTGGATTTAAACAAATTATTTTATGTTTTTCTCGTTAAATTCTTACGTGGTTTTATAATTATTAATTCTAAAGTAAATAAACATTTTTTTATGAACAAATTTACCAACCTTATTTTTCCCTCGTCTTCTCACATCCCGGGCAGTAGTTCGCTGCAAATCCGTCATCTTCTCGTTTTCAAGCTTTTGATTAAATTCTAAAGAAAATAAATTTGATTCTTTAGGATAATAACACAATAACAAATAGAAGCCATCAATAAACATAAAAAATGAAATGAGAAAAAAGCAAACAATTTAGAATCAATTGGATATTTACTCACAAAGAATAATGATCATAATAATGATTTTATAATATTTTTTTCATGCATTTACTGAGTTCCGGCCAATTTCAATAATTTAACAATTTCCATTTTTTCAAATAAATGATAATTCTATTGCAATGACTATCATCAAAAATATTTGGCTTCAGTCTTGACCCGGCATTCAACCTGTTAGCAACCAGCTCTCTCCTCCCTGCCTGGTTTGGCCGCAAACCTGTGTTGGCCCCCAAATCAGCTGAAATGTTGGGAACAACCACTCTACCTGGTCAACCTGTTTCAACTTAACAAATAAACATGGGTTCAATACAGCGGGTCCTGGCTCTATACCAGGAATTTGTGAAGGCCGGTGAATCTGTGGAGCTGAGGTTATGGTCTAGAGGAGGTAAAGAATGTTTTTCCTTCTCCCAAACCCTCGAACTCTAACCCTGATTCTGAGCCTGAAGCTGAACCTGAAACTGAACCTCATCCTCACCCTGAACCTGAACCTAATCTTGTGCCTGTTCCCGAGCCTAAACGAAGACCTACAAAGGCGGAACTAGATTTAGAATTGAGGAAAATTATGAAAATGATGCAAATGTCTCCCTATCCTTACTCTAACCCTGATTCTGAGCCTGAAGCTGAACCTGAAACTGAACCTCATCCTCACTCTGAACCTGAACCTAATCCTGTGCCTGTTCCCGAGCCTAAACGAAGACCTACAAAGGCGGAACTAGATTTAGAATTGAGGAAAATTATGAAAACGATGCAAATGTAATCTTGTAATCTTGTAAATGCAAATGTATATCTTGTAATGTAATGTAAACCTGTTTAAATCTTTAAATGGATTAGCATAAAATAAATATTTAGATCTCAAAAAAAAATATTTGGCAAACGACATTTTTTTCATCTTTTTATTTTAAAAACATTCTTACCGTCCATTGGCAAGTTTATTATTTCCTCTAACGTCAAGAATTCGTCAATACCTAGAAATGAGATTGTTCGTTGACGATAAAAAAGCAATTCTTTTGTTAAAAGGGGGGTATAGGCTGAAAGCTAATCGCTTTAGCTTTTGATCGCAACCCATGAAAGTTATATGAGATGTTCATGTCTCGGGAAATTGATATAAAACTCACACCAAGTCACGCGTCTCGGTCTGTATCATGTGACCAGTACACTGCACTCTCATTGGTGGGAGTTCTTGTGGCGAAATATGGACTAAAAAATAATATTATCAATTATATCTATTAAAAACAAAAATAAAAATTATAAAATAATAATTGGAGAAAACCTGAGTTACTATTAGGGTTCTCCGGAATATCTTCTTTTTCAAATTGGTTTCATATTTGCTGAATAAGATCTGTTCAAACCTATTATTTCTAAACAAAATTTTAAACATATGAATTTTCGTATAAATTTGACACAGTTTTATATCAATTTCTCGAGACAGGAACATCAAATATAACTTTCATGGGTCGCGATCCTTTACAGTCCCTTTAAGGGTCACTTGTAATTACGCGTACAGTCCCTTTAATCCCTTTAATTAACCTGCTTCTCTGATACATTTCAGATCCTTGTTTTCTTTCTTCTTAATCCTTTTCGTTGGTTCAGACCCAATTGAACTCACGGTCTCCGTATCACCAGAACACTGAGGATCATCTGCATTCTCCGGGTACTCATTGGACTGGGAGGCGACACTAGAACTATGGTGAGAAGTATCATTAGATTCATCGCAATCTTGGAGGGATGGTCGGGATAATTCGTCCATTGGTTCTAGATTATGTGATGCTAGTCCTTGATTTCTAGTTTCAGAATACCTAGTACTAGTATCCACTAGTTGACTATACCTCATAATGGTTGAGTCTTCTACCGGAGAACTTTCACAGAGGAGTCGCCTTTCAGGGAGGGTTATGCATAGGTTTCTCTCTTTTGATTGTAAACTGCTAGAGAACGGATCATTTGACGAGATTGATCTGAGTTGAGAAGCAGGGACAAGGCTCACGTTCACATTTCTCATTGGCAAGTAATTATTTATATATTGAAGTGAGCTAATATGGGGGAATTCTTCATCTTTTTTGAAAATTTGTGTTGAACGATTAAAACTTCTTTCATTCAGAAATTTATTTGTTAACTGTGCTTGTGTATTAGTTTGGGAGGTAAATATTTCTTGTCTGTGAGACTGATCTTCTTGTTTTAGAATTGAAGGTTTCCAGTCCATTGTTTCGGGCTCAGGGTTGCTTCTTCTCCGGGCTCTATCAATCCTTAAATCAAGGAGAATATCCTCCTCACCCTTCTGTATTGGGCAGAGGATATCATCAGGATGAGGTTTGTAGTCTATATCCATACTATCCCTAGAGCTGGGGGAGATCGTTCCAGACCAGGATTCATCCAGAGCATTAGATCTGTTCTGCTCCTGGTGCAGCATCGACCTGGAGAGAACGGAGTTGAGTTGATCTAGTCCTCCTGTTGCTCTGGGAGGAGGAGAAGGAGGATCCAACCTCTCTACTTTACTCTCCGCGTGCAATCTCACACTAAAAATAAAAGTCAATTTATATATTATTTATTTTGTCAAAGTTAAATTTTTCTAAATTGTATAAATTCTTACATGGTCTTTTTCCAGTTCCCATTTGAATACATGGCCTTTCCTGCAACACAAGATACAATTAGATTAGATTAGATTAGATTAGGGATTGACAAGGAAATCTTAAGCCCTCTTGAAATAAAGCACGTGGTGCATAGTTTAAAATCTTGATCCTTTACACTAGGGCACACATAGATCCAGATTTTTATAAAAAGTTGCATCAACTTTAAAGACTGGGCCGTTTTTAAAGTATCGCAACGCCTTGGACTTTTATTCTCATTGATTGAGAGCTTACAACCTTTGGATCACACTGGTGGGTGTTGATGTTTTTTTGTCTGGATTAAACTAAAACAAAAATTCAATAACAACTCATTCTGGGATTAAGGTTTATTGAGATGCAATCTTCATATGAAGGGTTGATTACAAGTACGTTTGTAGTTTTTATCACTGTGATAGATGATATTTTGTCAATTACTTCTTTAAAATCTTAAAACAAGTCCTTTAAAGTTCTGAGTTAGTGGGATAAAATTAAAGGAGTTTCAACATTTTTTAAATTGGACCCAGTCTTAAAAAATATATGCAACTCGTCATATCATGATTTATAAGTTGAATTCAAGCATAAGAAATAAAACAGAATGGGATTAATGTTAATCTTGGACAAGACAATGCCTTGCAAGCATCATGAACTGCACAGTGCAATATTTTACAACTGACTATTGTAAAGAAAAAGAAATTAAAAATTGAAATGCAATTAATTTGCGTTATAGTCCTACTGGTACAAATAGCCTTAGAAGGCAATTAACCAGAAACCTAGTAAGCCCATTATATTGTTAAATGTTTAATGTTTCTTTTTAAAAAATTGGGTTTACAATGTCACGTGAAATCAAAGACGACTAAACTAAACATTATTGCATATTTATAATCTATGCAAATCAAATATTCCTTCCATTGTTAACAATAAGATAGACGGGCCGGACATCTTTAAATTAGTGTCAAGGAAAAAATACTTATTCAGCTAATGCTTAATTTAATTATTTTATGTATGGGTGTGTAAGAGGTTAAAGAAACGTAATATAATCTTTAAATTGCTACGTTGAATTGAGACGTTTTTGCAAAATCATTGCAAAATTTTAACTTTTGCACAGTTTTGCAATTTTGCAATTTGCAGTTAACAAATATATACTTGCAAAACCGGGCTCTATCTGGTGTATAATTTATAGGAGTTGTGCAATAAAATAACCTGTTTTTAAAGTTTAGTTAGTTTCTGCCTGGAGCAGTTAAACCAATGTATTTAGTATTTTTAAAGCATTTTTCATCAGGTTTGGCTTGGTGTGTATTTTATATATTAACAAATAATTTTATCACTGCGAAATAACTACATTGTCATGTAGCAAAAATGCTAACATATATCTAATCGTATGATCCTAGCTCAATCTATTTCTTATAGTTTCTGTCTAGTCATTGCATCTATTTTTGGTATCTAGTTCTAGTTTCTATCTAGTACTATATCTAGTATCTAGTTCTAGTTTCTATCTAGTACCATATTTAGTTTCTATCTAGTACTGTATTTAGTATCTAGTTCTAGCGTCTATCTAGTACTATCTTTAGTATCTACTTCTAGTTTCTATCTAGTACTATATTTAGTATTTAGTTCTAGTTTCTATCTAGTACTATATTTAGTATCTAGTTCTAGTTTCTATCTAGTACTATATTTAGTATCTAGTTCTAGTTTCTATCTAGTCCTAGTTTCTATCTAGTTCTAGTTTATATCCAGTCCTAGTTTCTATCTAGTCCTAGTTTATATCTAGTCCTAGTTTCTATTTAGTTCTAGTTTCTATCTTGTCCTAGTTTTTATATAGTCCTAGTTTCTATCTACTCCTAGTTTCTATGTAGTCCTAGTTTCTATCTTGGTCCTGGTTTCTATCTAGTCCTAGTTTCTATCTAGTCATAGTTTCTATCTTGGTCCTAGTTTCTATCTAATACTATTTTGTATCTAGTCATAGTTTCTATCTATTTCTAGTTTCTATCTAGTCCTAGTTTCTATCTAGTCCTAGTTAATATGTAGTCCTAGTTTCTATTTAGTCCTAGTTTCTATCTAGTCCTAGTTTCTATCTTGGTCCTTGTGTCTATCTAGTCCTAGTTTCTGTCTAGTTCTAGTTTCTATCTTGTCCTAGTTTTTATGTAGTCCTAGCCTCTATCAAGTCCTAGTTTCTATCTTGGTCCTAGTTTCTATCTAGTCCTAGTCTCTATCTAGTCCTAGTTTCTATCTTGGTCCTATTTTCTATCTAGTCCTAGTTTCTATTTAGTCCTAGTTTCTATCTAGTCCTAGTTTCTATCTTGGTCCTAGTTTCTATCTAGTTCTAGCTTCTATCCAGTCCTAGTTTCTATCTAGTCATTGTTTCTATCTAGTCCTAGTTTCTATTTAGTCCTAGTTTCTATCTAGTTCTAGTTTCTATCTAGTCCTAGTTTCTATCCAGTTAGTTTCTATCTAGTCCTAGTTTCTATCCAGTCCTAGTTTCTATCTAGTCCTAGTTTCTATCCAGTCCTAGTTTCTATCTAGTTCTAGTTTCTATCTAGTTATAGTTTCTATCTAGTCCTAGTTTCTATCCAGTCCCTAGTTTCTATCTAGTCCTAGTTTCTATTTAGTCCTAGTTTCTATCTAGTCCTAGTTTCTATCCAGTCCTAGTTTCTATCTAGTTCTAGTTTCTATCTAGTTATAGTTTCTATCTAGTCCTAGTTTCTATCCAGCCAAATGAATTTTCAGCTTCTATTTATATTTTTTGGTTTAATTTGGTTCTAGCTATCCAGTGCATGGTTCACCTTTACTTTATTATTTACTCATAGTCATCAATTATTTTGTAAAAGTACACATGTTGCAATTTTTTTTTGCAAGTTAGAATTTAGAACTTAATTCAAATCAAAACCTAAAAAGGGGTATCTTAAAATTATTCAATCAAAATATAAAGTCTCTATTTTAATTGTTTAGATTTAGCATGGAGCATATTTAACCCTTAAGCTGAGTGTACTTAGATAAGCATAATGCAGTAAACACTCGGCTTGCCGAGGCGGGAGGAACGCAAGGTGGTTAAAAGTATATATTTATGCGTAGTTTAATGCTTTATTTTTAGACAAGCAAAATATTATTAAACATTGCACGTCGTTGCAAAAAAATTGCAGAAAATTGAAAAATATAATTTGGCCAAATTTTTATTTCATCCACCCAAGGTGACTAGTCTATTTTTGCAACTGTTGCTACGTGTGCAAATCTAGGTTGCGCTCAACCTATCTATCTATCTATCTATCTATCTATCTATCTATCTATCTATCTATCTATCTATCTATCTATCTATCTATCTATCTATCTTTCTATCTATCTATCTATCTATCTATCTATCTGTCTATAAAAGTACAACACGAATTATCTCGATTAGAGATAGACCTTGCAATATTTGCAATTTTTGCACAAGTAAACAAACAGAAAAACTTGATTTTTTATTGCTTGTTTAATGGGACAACTTTTACATTTAGAAAAGTTTAAAAACTGGTTGGTTCGGCGTCTTTTCTTTAAAATATTCATTTAATTATTAATAAAACTCAAAAATACGTTTACATTCAGGAAATAATAAGTTATTTTTTAATCATAACAAGTCTTTTGTTAGGCAGAAAGTATATATTGAGACATATATCGTACATGGTTTTGTATTAAATAAATGTAATTGAATATGTGAGTATATTGTATAAAGTATATCTATAAATGATTATATACCCCTGGATATTCAGAAAGTATATCTGTAGCAAAAATCGTAGCAATATGTGTTAACTTGAGAATATTAAACATGAGCTACGTAATATGATTAAAACATGCATTGTGATTAGATTAAACTGCGATAATATCTATCCATGTTAATCTATATGTAAATTTGGCTTGTCTGTCGGTTTGTTTGTTTGTTTGTATCCAATAAACGTCAAAACGGCTGAACCGATCGGGCCCAAATTTTTTGTGAGACATCACGTGATCACAGGAAAGGTTTATGAATGATAAAAATTTTAGAAAATGTGTTTTAAAGGTTTTTAATTTTGTAAATAAATTTAAATTATTGAAAATCCGCGAATTTTTTTTTAAAATTCGCAAAATTTTTTCTTCTTTGTTTTAGAATGTAAACAAAAAGAATATGTTCACAATTTAAATAGAAGATGGGCGCGAAGCGCCCTAAAAGCCAAGAAAGAAGGGCGCGAAGCGCCTTGAATTTCTAGTCCTTTAAATATTCATTCAAATACATGCAAGGTAGAATTTGTACAAGCTCGGTACAGCAATATTCTTACGTCACAAGTGTCAAATCAGTCATTATGTCTGACAAAATTATCAATAATAGTGATGATTTTAAATTAAATACTTCTTTAGCAGTAAAATAAGTCAGAAAATTTTGCTTTCCTGTTATATTTTACACTTGTGATGTCGTGTATAATTGGTCCATTTCTCTGTTGTCACCTATTGTACTTGATAATCTATTTGCGTACATTGCATAAAATGAGATGTGCGAACTGGAAGTTGTTGTTAAAGAAGAGATACTTAAGTTCATCGGGAGTGCCCACAAATATAATGCTAAAATTTGGAAAATCACCCGATTGACTCTTCATGGCAAACAGTCCAAAATAAAGATGTGAAACAGATGCTGGGGTCCTGTATCACGGGACCAGCTAGGAGAGAGATAGTATATCTATATTCACCCTGTATATGTATAAAGTATATCTACATTTACCCTGTATATGTATAAAATATATCTATATTTACCCTGTATATATATAAAGTATATCTACATTTACCCTGTATATGTATAAAGTATATCTATATTTACCCTGTATATGTATAGAGTATATCTATATTTACCTTGTATATGTAAAAAGTATATCTATATTTACCCTGTATATGTATAAAGTATATCTATATTTACCCTGTATACGTATAGAGTATATCTATATTTACCCTGCATATGTATAAAGTATATCTATATTTACCCTGTATATGTAAAAAGTATATCTATATTTACCCTGTATATGTATAAA